GTCGCCCAGGCCGAAAACCGACTTCTGCGCATGGGCCATGAAGTTTCAATTGCACTGTATGTGCCTGCCCGCATGTGGTATTTTGTGGAAGAGCCACACTCAAGGGGCCGAAGAGCCACACTCAAGGGGCCAAAGAGCCGCATGTGGCTCGCGAGCCACGGTTTGCTGACCACTGGCATAGGGAATATATTCAATAATATTGTAATAACTATGTATGGTGCTAGGTGGGTACTGGAAATCAGGGGGAACACTTTATAAAGTATTTGATTGCCTAACCTCTGTGCTGTTACTTGAAACTAATACAAAATAATATTGAATGTAAGCTGTAATTAAAAAAAAATTAAAATTGAAAGAAAACACTAAGAAAACACAAGAAAAAAAAGACAGTATTTTTATTATGTATGTATACAATTTCTTTTACCAAATTTATTAATTAAAATAAAAACAACTTATTAAATATTAGCATCCTTCAAAATTACCAACATTCGGAATACCCTGTTATCTTAGTAGAGATTTTTTCCTTTGTAAATGAGATTTCTAATTTTAGCAAAGTAATAGGTGCAATAGTTTAAAAAAATTAAGTAAGCCATATAGTGTGACACTGAAGAGCAGCAGCCTCTTGCCCTCCCGCTTTTCACTCTAGTTTGTGGCTTTGAGAAGCCTCATCTCTTGGAGATTTCTACTGATGTTTGCCTCCCACTTGCTAAATGGCTTGCTTTTACAGTTTGATTTTTTTCCCCACTTTATAGTTTCCTGTTGATTCCCTTCTTTGGAAAATTAGACTTTAGTACTTAGAGTTTCTTTCCCATCCTTTCAATATAGACATAAAATAAATTTTGGTTTTATTAATATATAGATATCCTCCTATATGATAAAAGGGTAATATGCAAATCGATTGAACGGCAGAATGACCGGTTGTTATGATGCACAGTGATCATCACGGGGCAGACACTCAATGCAGGAGCTGCCTCTGATGGTCAGTGTGCCCCCACAGGGGGAGCGCTGCTCAGCCAGAAGCTACTCAACTCACAGTTGGTAAGGGCAGCAGTGGTGGCAGGAGCCTCTCCCGCCTCCGCAGCAGTGCTAAGGATGTCTGACTGATGGCTTAGGCTTGCTCTCAGTGGGGAGCGGGCCTAAACCATCAGTTGGACATCTCCTGAGGGCTCCTAGACTGCAAGAGGGCACAGGTCGGGCTGAGGGATGACACCCCTCCCCCTGAGTGCATGAATCTCTTGCACCAGGCCTCTAGTTAAAATATAATGACTATAAGTATTATTCATAACCAAATCTTATATTTATATTATGATTATATCTTCTTATACATTATATTTTCTCTGGAATTAATAACCCCCTTCTTTTTCCTTGCTTTCCCCCCCTCTATTCCTATTTCTAATTTATCACCAAACAAATCATTTCACTACTTCCAAACACACCAAATAATCTTTCAAATCTCTGTGTGTGTATGTTTGTTTTCAGATCTTTCCTGTGGGAGCCTTAATATTTTCTCCATGTGGACTGGTTGCTAGTAGGGCCTGCTTGGGTGGCTGATGTCTTAGAATTCCTCTCACTATTTTTTCTTGGTCATGTCCTTTGTCTCTCTGTTTGTTTTGTTGATTGATCTCTGGTTTTCAGTTCCTACTCCTTTAAATTTACTTAATTCAGCCCTAACCGGTTTGGCTCAGTGGATAGATGGTCGGCCTGCGGACTCAAGGGTCCCAGGTTCGATTCCGGTCAAGGGCATATACCTTGGTTTCGGGCACATACCCAGTAGGGAGTGTGCAGGAGGCAGCTGATCGATGTTTCTCTCTCATTGGTGTTTCTAACTCTCTATCCCTTTCCTTTCCTCTCTGTAAAAAATCAATAAAATATATTTTAAAAAAATTTACTTAATACATTTTGGCAGATTCATGAGAAAAGGTATAAGAAAGGAATATTTTTAGAGATCATGCATATTTGAAAATGTCCTTATTCTATCATATTTGATTGATAGTTTAGCTGGGTACGTAGTTTTAGGTTGGGAATAATGTCCTTTTTGAATTTTGAAGGAATCACTCCATTGCCTTCTCACTTCAAGGTTGCTGTTGATTCCAGTGCTATTCTGATTCCCAATTTTTTTCTATAATCCCCTGGTCTCTGGAAACTGCGAATATTCTTTCTGGAATTCTGAAACTCTACCATATTCCTTGGTACCTGTTTTCATTCATTTTATTGGCTACCTGTTGGGCTCTTTCAAACTAGAAATGCATGTTCTATAGTCCCCTGTGTTTTCTCTCTTTGGATACCTATTGGTAGAGTGTAGTACCTCAGACTGACCCTCTGATTTTCCTGTCTTTTCTTTCCCATTTTCCTACCCACCTCAGTGTCCTTTTATTCTACCTTCTGAAAGATTTTAACTTTAATTTTCACGCCTTTCATTGGAGGCTTTTATTGGTGCTACAATCAGTTGTAATTTCTAAAAACTTTCTTCTTTGTAGCTTTTTTTTTTAATGGCATTATGTTGCCTTATCTCCTATTTCTCTGAGGGTATTAAATATATTCTTGGGTGATGAAATTTTTTCTGCTTCCCACATCATATTTGTTTCTTCTGTGGTGTGTGCGCTTGCACATGTTCTTTTTTGCACGTTAGGGGCTCTCCTCAAGTGTCTGGAGAACTGTGGCTTTTTAAAAATGAGAGATGAAGGGAAAAAAAGATGATTGGAAACTGTACATGGGTGGGGCTTGTAACTTGGGGCACCTCTAGTAGTTTAATCTATATCTGTAGGTCTGTCCTCATGTCTGGGAGTCTGGCTGTGGGAAAAGGCTGGTGAGATTTCACTGAGCAGGCTTTGACTCAGCCCCCTGTTTTTAGTAGAGTGCCTCACCCCTGCCCTCAGCTGTGCTGAGAGTCAACTCTTCCAGAAGGGAAATTCTCAGTCTCCTGTCCAGATATGCAGGGTAGAGAAGAGAATATGGGGACCTACTATTCTTTGCATATTTTTTTACAACCAGTTTCCTTTCCTACCGTACCTGGACCTAACTTATTATTGTCTACTCCAGAGGCTTAAATTTCAGCTGATTTGTTTCTTTATTAGTTACTATTTGTTCATTTGTTTTCTAGCTTCAAGAATTTTGTTGCATATCTAGTTTGTGCACTTGTTCCCTCTCATTTTTAATTGTCTTCATGAGTTTATCCCATATTTTTTTCCTTTATTGATGAAGGTATTACAAATGTGTCCTTATCCCCCCATTGTCCCCCATCCCCCCACTCATGCCTTCACCCCTCACCCCCTGTTGCCTGCATCCATCGCTTATGCTTATATGCGTGCATACGAGTCCTTTGGTTGATCTCTCATATATTCAAGTCCTTTGGTTGATCTCTCCCCCTTAGCCCCACCCTCCCCTGCCTTCCCTCTGAGGTTTGAACATCTGATCGATGCTTCTCTTTCTCTAGATCTATTTTTGTTCATCGGTTTATGTTGTTCATTATAATCCACAAATGAGTGAGATCATGTGATATTTATCTTTCTCTGACTGACCTATTTCCTTAGCATATTTTTATGATTGTATAAATTATTTTCATGTCATTTTAGTACAGTTTTTAAAGAGTGTGGGAAAAAAGGAATGTGCTCAGTCTGCCATGGTTAATGGAAGTGTCAGTGTGGGCTCTTTTTTAGATTTATCAAAATAATTTTTTTCCGCATGACACATTTTTTGGTGGATATTTGTATATTTTCTGATGTGTAGTTATGCCTTTTAAAAATGTCTTCTAAAATATTTTATTCTAATTGTTGCATATGATTATTTAATATTGCAGATTTAACATCAGCTTTCATAAGTAGAAAATAAGTGACCACCTACCTTATAGGTTGAAGGAGTACTTGTTATTCTCATTGAGTTACTTACTCATTTTTAAAACCTTTTAATTTTGAGATAATTATCCTATACAATAAAAGCCTAATATGCTAATGATATGCTAAGGCCGCTCAACCGCTTGCTATGATGTGCACTGACCACCAGGGGGCAGACACTCCAACCAGTAGGTTAGCTTGCTGGTGGGGTCCAGCCGATTGGGTCTGAGTGAGACGGGTGGGACACGCCCTAGAGCCCTCCCGTGGTCCCTTCCCAGCTGGCCAAACTCCTGCGTTCCTCCTCAGCCTGGTGATAGTGCACCGGTGGGGTCCCTTGACCTGTCCTGTGCTCTCTCTCAATCCAGGCCCCTTTGGGGGATGTCAGAGGGCCCATTTCGGCCCAATCCCAGTCAACACAGGAGCTGAACCCTGGTGGTCAGTGCGCTCCCTCAGGGGAGCACCGCTCAGCCAGAAGCTGGGCTCATGGCTTATGAGTGTGGCAGCCTAAGCTGCTCCCCAGGAGCAGGCCTAAGCCATCAGTTGAACATCCCCTGAGAGCTCCCAGACTGTGAGAGGGTGCAGACTGGGCTGAAGGACCTCCCCCGCCACCCCCCCGCCCCGCCGAGTGCACAAATTTCGTGCACCGGGCCGCTAGTAGATTAATAAGGGAGTTGCAAAAATAGAACAGAAACCTCTTTTGTACTCAGTATAACCCAGTGGTAACATCTTCATATTAGTATAATACAGTATCAAAATCAGGAAATTGATATAATTCTCATTAATTTTTAAAAGATATATTGCTTTAAATTTTATATTGGACAAAACGTTTATGTTGCAAATATATATGAGACCTATGTGAAACTGTTTTGTTTTTCAGCAATTTTTCCAGCTAGTCAAATTACGAAAGCTTGGACTTAGTGATAATGAAATTCAGCGGCTCCCTCCAGAAATAGCAAACTTCATGCAGCTGGTGGAACTTGATGTGTCCCGAAATGGTAAGAAAAAGATTCCACTTGAATTGTCCATTTATCTGTTCTGATGCTGGGGGGGATTTTTAATAAACAGAGTGGATAAAGGTTATTGGAGGTACTTCACCTTGTGGTTATGTGAAAGCTGTGTATAAATTTTGAGATGAAATTAGTGCCATCATTGAATAGTTTAGTTAACTTGCAAGTATTTATCAAAAAACTTTTCATAGCACAGTTTTTGTTTATTTTTTAAATATGTTTTTACTGATTTTTAGAGAGAGAGGAAGGAAGAGAGGTAGAAAGATAGAAACAACGATGAGAGAGAAACATCATCTGTCGTCTCCTACATGCCTCCTACTGGGTATCGAGCCCACAACCCAGGCTTGTGCCCTGACCAGGAATCTAATTGGTGACCTCTTGGTTCCTGGGTTAATGCTCAACCACTGAGACACACTGGCCGGGCCATAATACAGTTTTTGAATGATAACTTTCTCAAGAGTTAGAGTGTTGTCTGAGAAATTATGTAATCTGGCTCCCTCATTTTCCTGAGTGTGACATTGAGGACTGGTGGTGTGGTCATCTGTCCAGCACTGAGGGGCTGTTGAGGGGAGGGGACACTCCCTGGGGAGGGTCTGGCTTCTCAGCCTGTGGCTCAGAATCTGTCTTCCTGCAGTGAACAGACCTGCTTGCTGTTCAGGCATCTTCTGCCAGATTAATTTATTTCTAATTAGGCCACTGGTGGGCCTGCCCACTGGAGTTTGTGGTATATTTAAATGCAGGCCCTGGTTTAACCTTGCGTTTCATAGCCCTTAGAGCACACCCTGAGTGGGTTGGTAACCCTGCTTGCTATTGCATATTTGATTAATTACTCTAAGTTAAAGTGGCAGATCCCAGTGGTCCTGTCTTAAGTGATGGGATTCTGTTCTTGCAAGGGCTCTGGTATAATTTCCTTTGGATAAGCCCCAATATACTCTGAGTTATTTATAAAAAGGATAATCTTTTTCTCTCATATTGCATACCTGTTTTGTTTTTCTATAAAATATGTTTCTTCTCGCCGAAACCGGCTTGGCTCAGTGGATAGAGCGTCGGCCTGCGGACTCAAGGGTCCCAGGTTCGATTCCGGTCAAAGGCATGTACCTGGCTTGCGAGCACATCTCCAGTGGAGGATGTGCAGGAGGCAGCTGGTTGATGTTTCTCTCTCATTGATGTTTCTGGCTCTCTATCTCTCTCCCTTCCTCTCTGTAAAAAATCAATAAAATATATTAAAAAAAAAATATGTTTCTTCTCAATGAACATCAGGTCTGGATCTTACAGTCTCCTGTCTTCCACAGCAACTCCAAGGCCTAGATACACTATTTTGGGGGGTCATTATTATAGGGCAGCAATGATAATCAGTACTTGATTGAAAACATGGTGAAACAAAAATGATTGAACCCCCCTACTTTTAATAGCTTTTAAATTGCTGTTCCCTGGAAGGTTTCTGTGACAATGATAGAAATAAAAGGTAAAAATAAAATAAAATAAATTGCTGTTCCCTATTACATTCGATAAGTTGGAAACTGTCTATAAGTTAAGCCATATGTTTCTTAAGGTAGGGTCTACTTTTATTTTTCATGAGAATGAAGTACTGGAAAAAGTGAAGAAAATACTTATTTTGGAGGGCATGTTTTATGGTGGCTTATTTGGTTGCACAGGACCCAGATCTGCTCAGGGAAAGGGGATTCGATGGTAAGGAGCGGGTGGAGCTGACATCTAAGAGCTTTGGCATGGGGCTCGCATCAGACATCGCCTTCAGTTTCCTGGCCCCCTCTTAGTGCATCTGCTTCTGTCTGTGGGTGCTCTGTTCTCTCCCTGTCGACCTGCTCTCTGGGAACTGGCCTCTCCACAACCACTTTGATGTGGTCTTTCTCTACCTACTTTTTGGCTTCTGCGCCTGCTGTGGTGTCAGCTTGACAGATTTCTCAGTGAGGAATTTGTCAAACAGATCATCTTTCTAAGCCAATAAGCCACAGGTCACTGGGCACCCGAAAGATTAGCTGCCCTGGGACAGGGGTGGCTAGCAGTGCAAAGCATGGCTCTGCTCCGCAGCTCAGCACAGACGCGGTTGATGAGCACTTTCCCTTACCCTGGAGTGTATAGTTGGAGCGGTGTTGGAGGCCAGAATTGCTCCTAAGGCTATCCAGTCTCACGCTTACCTAAGGAATACATAACTCAATCTGCTCGCTCTTGCCTTAGCAATGATCTCAGTTATAAGGGTGGCTGGCTATTAAATTTGCAAGGGAGCAGTGACTTTGTAAAATTGTCACTCAAATCATAGAATCCGAAGAAATAAAATAGCAATTTTGAAATTGGCATTAGAAAGGAAAAGAAGCAGGGGCCCAGAAATACTTGAGAAGGAGAAGTGTTGCCTTTGATCATTTGGAGAAGAGAAAACTAGAGTTTGGAAGTTCCCAGTTACGCTAATAACTCGAAAGGGACGGGATGCTCTGTAGAAAGTTGGCACATTTGGTCACCACTTTTAACAGTTCCCACATCAACTATTTCTTTTCAAACATTCGTACCTAGAAAGAAGGACTACCTGCCTCTGTGTGCATTCATACCTCCCAGCATGTTGATAAAAGAAGCTAAGCTTTCACTGTAGTCAGTGTCAGGACACGAAAAGGTGTTCTCTCCTCCCCTCTTTCATCCTGTTCTCACTTTCAGCCTTTCCTTCTGTGTGTTTGTGAGGGATCCTGCAGGCCTTTTACCTCTCGGTCAGGCTCTTTTAGAAATGCTGAGGGGAGTTAACTGCTCCTGTCCTCTCTGGCAGAACCTAGCTCTGGCTCCGCAGCAGGAAAGTGTGCACTGGAGTGCTGGGGGGCTGTGGGCAGCACACCAGAGGATGGCAGGGGTCAGGCTTTCTGTGAGGCTATGAACACACTGCAGAGATGACTGAGAAGAACCAAGTCATCATTCATTCTAACCAATAGGAACACAGGTCATGGGCTATTTCCAGGTCAGGCAGATCTCACTGTGCTTCCTCTCATTTGTTTACAGGTAAAAATCACAGTAATGTGAATTTCCTAGGCAACTGAGTAGGTAAATAAAAGTCACAAAATCTGCAGTCTGAGAGTCAGTGTGAGAACCCCTCCTTTGTGTGGGTGCAGGCATTGGTAAGGGTTTGAGGCCTGGAGCCACTCGTCTTCTCTTGCACCAATTGAGCAGCCTGCTCCATGGTCAGAGGTTGTTCCTTTGAGTGCCTGAGTTGTAGCAGGGCCCTTGCCAGGGCTGGCCATTGCGTAGTGGGGCCTTCATTGACTTCCTTAATTCCTGATGTAGGAATTAAGCATTGCTTGACCATGGAGGAGGAAGGCAGGATGCTGGTCTCAGTCTACTCAAGTCCATGGGCTCAGCGCTTGTCAAACTTGAGCATGCAGTGAATTACCACAGGGTGTTGTTATAATGCAGACTCCGATGTAGTAGGTCAGGAATGGGCTTGAGATTCTGCATTGCTGAGAGCTCCCAGAGGATGCAGGCCCTGCTGGTCCACTGCGCACACTGAATAGCAAGCTCTTAGATGTCATCACCCACGAATCCCCTACTGAGCTTCCTCCAGCAGCTGTGTGTGGTCACGAGCACAAGTTCACCCAGCTCCTGGCACCCCTGCACCTTCCCATGGGGAACGTGGGCAGCCTTCAGGATATTCCTGGTAAAGAGTGAGATTCTGGAGCTGCCTTAAGCTCACATTGGCTTTGATTCTAGGAGCAAAATGAGACCTTTCCTGATGCTCCCTTGCTCAAATGGCAGAGAAAAGAAAGGTTTTGTGTTTCTCTCCAAAAAAATCTGTAAATGAGGAGGAGAGAAGTTTTTACAGGCTCATTTCCTAGGCCAAGAAGAGCTGCCAGGACCTCCAAACCCTGACTTTTGTGGCTTTGTTTTCAGATATTTCAGGCACAAAGTCAAGGGAATTGTGTGTTGTGTTAAAAAGAGAGAAGACTGAGCTTTGGGAGAGAGGGTGATGCTTATGGTTATATATAGTCTGTGGGGATTTTTTCTGAGGTGAAAGTAGAGAGGCTTGAAATGAGCACAGTGTGTACAGTTTTGTCTCCAGAATGGCTAGATGTGCTGTGCAGAGAGGACTCTGGTGAGAGCCGGGGTCCCGCCACTCACCACCTACTGATTTTGGACAGGCCCCGCCAACAGTGCTGGGTCTTGTTCTGGGAAGGTATGGGACAAAGCCTGCTTCCTTACAAGCCAGGGGGAGGCGAGGAGCATGGCGGACTTCTCATGTCCTGCCTTGGTGGGTTCTTTTTTTTTTTTTTTTTTTTTTAACTAAGGCAAATAGCTAAAATTTATATGTAATAAAATAAACAGTTTCCTCTGAACATAGATGGAAGGATGGAGTAGATGAAATTGGTATCTGAATATGCTGTTAAATGAATAAAAAAGCATACAGATTTTGCATGAAGGTCTGAAGTAGATTTCTGTGGTGACATGCACATGCCTTAAAGCCTGGACGTGGTCTTTTTCTGCTCACTGGTTCTTAGCTGTTCGAGGACAATAATCCTGGGTATGTGAGAAGAATTATTACCCTGTAGTACTATCTTGTCATCCAAGAATCTAGGGCAGACTTTCTCAGTGCATAATGAATCCTGCCCCAAGGCTTAGTAATTTGAATTTTATAGTCTATGCTGTAATTTGACTGACATCACGGTACTGTATCATTATCCATTTAGTTTAGTTTTTCCCTAAGTGTAAGGCATACACCACTGGTGCTGCTAGAGATGACTTTAAGTGAGTGGTACTGCAAAACAGAGTTTTTAATATAGAAACTTCATGAGAAAGTTACCCTTTAAGATTATTCCTTTTGGCCCTAACTGGTTTGGCTCAGTGGATGGAGCATCAGCCTGCAGACTCAAGATTATTCCTTTCGGTTGCCTTCTGTAAAATTTAATAACACTAAATTAAATTTTGTTATTGTTACATTTATTTTACATTTACCTTTTGTATCTTGGGGTGGTAGCTCTATTCATGTTAGTGATTTAAAGAAATTTGCTACCTTTAAAAATAAATCTCACTCAAATTTTAAAAAGTCGTTTTAAAAGAATGAGGTAAACGATACAGAATACACATGCTATGCCACCAGTATGGCAGACATGGTGAAGGTGAACGGTGATGGCTGAAGTTAAGGAAGCACTGACTGGAAGTAGCATATCATGCCTTTCATCATGAGTTTATTTCACGTATGATGCAAGTAGTATTACATTCAGGAAACATGGCCAGTCTGCACACGCTAGCTAGTTCCTTTGCAAACTTGCGTTAACAAGCAACTAAAAGATATTTTAGTACAAATCATTCCTAGCACCAGGACAAGGATAAACAGCTGTCTACCAGTAGGGTCATCATCCCACAAAGTGTGGAGGCTAGACTTTGATTAAAGGCTTGGGTTAGTTGGTTTCTGTCCATCCATGAGATGTGATCAGTGTCTGTGGTCTGTAGCTATGGGTTGTTTAATGAAATCTAAAGCCAATTTTGAAGCCTGCCCAAATGACCTTGTATAACATCGTCTGGTGTTTCTGAGTATGCCCTGAAAAAAAAAGTTCTTTCTGGCAAAGAACAAATCCAGTGTACAGTAGAAGTCTTCCTACTTAGTTGTGAACAGTTAGCTTTTGAATTCCCATGTATACCTATGCCACATGTGAGGCAGAAGCCAGTTTTCACCCTGTAAACTTCATACTTGCCACAGTCAAGCCTGATTCCAGCCCAGGTTCAGGGCTCTGTTCAGCACACTGTCCTGTGGTTAATGTTATGGTGGGTGAGTCTGTGGCTCTTACAGTACCACAGGAGACATATGTCTCCTTCCCCCCCATTGACCTCTCCCCGTCTGCTCCAACTGCCAGCACAGGCCCTCACCCCTTTACTGTCTGTGTCCATTGGTTATGCTTATATGCATTCATACAAGTCCTGGTTGATCTCTTATCACCCCCACCTCCCCTGCCTTCCCTCTGAGGTGTGACAGTCTGTTCCATGCTCTGTGTCTCTGGATCTCTTTTTGTTTATCAGTTTATGTTGTTCATTATATTCCACAAATGAGTGAGATTATGTGATGTTTATCTTTCTCTGACTGGATTATTTTGCCTAGCATAATGCTCTCCAGGTCCATCCATACTATTGCAAATGGTAGAAGTTCTTTTTTGCAGCAGCGTAGTATTCCACAGGTTTTTAATCCACTCATTTGCTGATGGGCACTTAGGCTGTTTCCAAATCTTAGCTATTGTAAATTGTGCTACTATGAACATAGGGGTGCATATATGCATTCTGATTGGTATTTCTGATTTTTTGGCATATATTCCTAGAAGTGGCATTACTGGGTCACACGGGAGTTTCATTTTTAATTTTTTGAGGAAATTTCATACTATTTTCCACAGCAGCTGCACCAGTCTGCATTTCCATCCGAGGATACTTTTTCTATTGATTTTTAGAGAGAGTGGAAGAGAAGGAGGAGCAGGGGAGGGGCAAGAGCGAGGAAAGAAACATTGATGTGAGAGACGCATGGATTGCCTGGGCCTTGCACATGCCCCGAACAGGGCCGGGAATCAAACCTGCAAATAACCTGATTTCGAACATGAGACCCTTCACTCCATGGACCGACACTCTAACCACTGAGCCAAACTGGGCAGGGCAGAAGGGAAATTCTTACAACAATGCCTTTACCAAAATGTTTTTGGAGCTCTTTCAAATTAGTAGTATATTATTTTGCTTATCTTCCAATAGTTTCACTTTTTAAAATGGATTTGTTTTTAAACACAACCAAAGATATTTAATGCCAATTTAGGAAAATGAACCAGGACACTGAAAATGTTATGTTACTGAAAATCTGCTCAGCTAGCAATTTAAAAAAAAAAATGAGTAAACTATTGTTACTTTTTATTATGTTAATATGGTTAATTTTATCAGAAAAATTGTGACTGTGCTGAATAAGTTGTAGGTTTATATAACTTTTATTTCTCTCCTGCCGTTTTTATTTTTAATTAGCAGTGTGCAAACAGTGTTGGTAACCTCTGAGTTTGAGAACAACACCTCTCAATATATTTTTTAGGTCAACAAGCTCTTCAATTAGTCCCAGGTTCTCTGAATTTTTTGTCTATTTTAAGTAGCTCCTTATCTTCTTCCCTCCTCCTTCCCTACTTCATTCATTCATCCTTGTCTTTACATGCTGTGCTCTGTGTTAGATGCTGAGTTTTCCAAAACAATGGTGGATTTGCACAAAATAGGCTGAATTAGAGAAGCAAAAATAACCACAGTGGCTTCTCCTGAAATAAAACAGAACCCCAACATGTGACCGTTTTTGCTCACTTTTTAATTAGGCAATTTATGTAGGTATCCTTTGACAGTTTCCAGTTCTGAAAATGATTGAGAGCGAGAGCCATATTGCTTCATTTTGATTTTGAGGTCACCTATTTTGTCATGTGAATCTGGCTGGAGCCAAGTGATGCTGAGCCTTCAGGCAGCTGAAGCCTGATGCATCTCTTTGTCAGGCTGGTGACAGAGTGTGCAAACAGTGCTCTGAGCTTGTTAAGCTACAAGAGACACCTCTTAGAAAGGGATGGAGGCGCCAGGAAGGAAAGAGTAAATGAGGAGCAGTACTAAGAACTGCAACTTGAGGGAGGTGGAAATGATTTGATTTTTAAGATCCTTTTATAATTGTTGAATAAATCCTCAACCTAATACATCTGCTCAAAGCTAATAATGAACTAAGATTCTGAATTCTTATTCAGTTTGAAAGAGCTTTGGAACCTGGACTTAAAAAAATGCTTAGTTATCAACTGTATTTTAGAATTACTAATGCTTTTTACTTCAAGCAAAATTTATTGAGCAGTTACTATATTTGTGGAAGGCTCTTTGCTGAATTCTTCTCTTCCTTAAGTGGTTAAATCTACAGATGTAAGGACCTGCACATTAACACTTGTTATACTGTTTTATAAAGTGCTCAGGGCATGCAGAGAGGTGGGCAACTATAACTAATGTGAGACAGGCTTGAAGGAGGAATGAGGCACTTTTGGTTTGAGTTTGAAATCAGGCAGTCTTTAAAAATTTTCATATTTTAGCTGCTATGAACATACCAGCTTGGCTCAGTTGGTTGGGTGTCATCACATGCACCAAAAGGTTGCTGGTTCAGTTCCGTGTCAGGGCACATTCCTGTATTGTGGGCTCAATCCCTGATAGGGGGCATGCAAGAGGCTGCTGACCAATGTTTCACTCTCACATTGATGTTTCTCTCTTTCTCCCTCTCCCTTCCTCTCTTTCTAAGAGTCAATAAAAGACAGTAAGAAAAATTCTCATACTTTAGTTGCAAATTTGGAGAGAGTTAATGAGTGGAATCCTTAACTGTCATTGTTACTGGAAAAATTTTTCAAATGTTTGTAATAGAGTAACAGAGTCAACAATTTGATGAAATGTTCAACTATCTGAGTGCTTGTCTAATAGATATTCACTTGATATTTTAAGATTCATAAAAAAATCAAAGAAGAAGCACCCAGTACATGACAATGTGCACTAAAACTTTATGAGTTGTCATGGGATTTTTTTCTTGTACAGCTGACGACTGCTGTGTTGTAAAGGATCTGCTCTGCCAGATGAAGTGCTAAGCTCTTGGCTTTAGTCGAGATGGACTACCTGTTGATTTTTTAAAAATGCCAAAATCTGAAGGGCTCAACAGAATGAGGAACTTTATTACTGCTTAACTTACAGTGTGTGTGTGTGTGTGTGTGTGTGTGTGTGTGTGTGTGTCAGGGGTGTGGAATATGGAAGTGGAAGATGAGAGGTTCTACTGTACACAGTCAGAGATCTCGGTCTCTTCTTGTGATGTCACATCTTCATTCTATACTGGACTCCAGGGTCCTCGTGGGAGGGGGAGAAAATGGAGGATGGGCCATGCCAAGAAGTGGTATACATCATTTCCATCCATGTTCCTTTGGCCAATTTTATGTCCTCAATTTAATTGAAAGGACCTGGGCAATGCAGTTAACTATTTGTACTAGTACATGAAGAAGAGAAATCAGGCTGTTGGTAAGGTACTAGCATCATCTGCCACAACTGACATTTAATTGATTGCTGGGTTTGTATGACTCTATGTCACTGATCTCTCTCTCTCTCTCTCTCTCTCTCCTCTCTCTCTCTCTCTCTCTCTCTCTCTCTCTCTCTCTCTCTCTCTCTCTCTCTCACACACACACACACACACACACACACACAATTCTGTTGCACTGTAACAACCTTTCATGAGTGACACATTCAGAGGAAATACAGATGCATGCCTAAAGAGGACAGAGTAGCCTTTCTTCCCACATCTTCACAAAAGTGTATAAACCCAGACATAGGTTAACGTGATTGATGGACACTGATTTGCTAATAGCATAAAACCTATGCAAGTATACATGACTTTTGGAGGGGAACTTTTAGAATCTGATGTTTGCGGAGTGGTTGTCGAAGCACTCGCTCTAAGTATGGCATCATTAAAGGTTTTCAAGTCAGGAATCCCCATCTCAGACAAGTTACTTAACCTCTCTGTGCCGGCTATAAAATAGAGACTATAATAGCACCCTCTTCATAGAGTTATTGTGACCTTTGAAAGAGACTGTGCAGGTAAAATACTTAGAACAGTGTCTATACTTAATGAACAGCTCCTGCGATTAATCCTATTATCGCCTCTCATTTTGGGTTATGAAGATCTGAACTAGCACTGTGAGAGTAAGAATACAGTGGGGGTGAGGCCACAAGTAGGTTTGAGAGACAGAGTGGTTCAGATGAGGGAGGTTGCTACCTGAAGTGATGTCTAGATACTGAGTACCATAACACCAGGCATTGTGTGTGCTTTTTTATCACAGCTATTTTATCTAATCCACCTACTAATCCTGTGAGATGGGTAGAAGAGGAAACTGAGGCTTGAAAAAGTTGTGATGTGAGCCCAAATCATACTTCTGGACATTGGTGGAGCTGAAATAAGAAAACAAGAAGAGTGGCACTTTTAATTTTGGGGGGAGCATATTGAAGGTGATAAAGGTAGGGCTGATAGTTTTAGTCTATGTTAGAGAAAGGATGGAGACAATATTATGACTAGGAACTCTGTGAATTTAGAGATCAAAACAGGGAAAGTCATTCTAAGACATTTAAACCTATAGAGATCTTCATAGTGAGTGAATTGAACCATCCGTGAAAGTGGTCCATCCTGAGAGGTGCTTTGTAAATCTTTAATGGCCAGAAATGGAATACCATCTAATGAGGGATACTAGGGCTTTCTCAGTAAGCTCTGATGTAATACTTCTAAGGTCATTGTGCTGTTTTGGCAAAAGATTGGTGAGTTGCTAGAAGGGTAGAACAAGGAAAGCCAAAAAACTAAGACTGGGGTTTTACCTTTGAAAGAAAAGTAATGAGGTTAGACAACATGAACGTCCCAGGTCCCTTGGAAGCAGGAATAGCCCTCCCTTAGTGACACGACTGTCACCTCTACTTGCTAATGGTTAAGAGCATCCCATGTTCTTTTCTCTGGGTGTGAATATTCTCAAGGGCTGTGATGTGGTAGTTCTCAATGTGGAGGCTGAAGAGAGGTGACATGCTGACACGGTGAATCAGTACCCAGTGCCACTGGCAATCAGATTGGTCACTTGAATTTTCTTTGTGCGGTACACATTATTCTAGCCTTATCTTCTCTGAGCAAACTGTCACTGACCTGGCAACTTGATGGCTCTCCGCTGATTATCCCACCAGGGTTCATCTCACCATGAGGCTCTGTCTGGAGCAGCCAGAAAGTTTCTCTCTTTGAACTACTTACTACTTTGTAACATCAAGTAGCACCACTTTATAAAGCACCGTTCCTTTTTTTCTTGCTGTAGACAAAGTGAATTACATTTTTAAAGCATATGTTTATTATTGAAAATGATTAGTAGTGAAACATAATGAAACACTGATGAAAAACCAAGAGAACTATGTAAATATTTTATCATTATACATCTTTATCGTCAGAATACTTATTGGATGCTTACTCTAGTCTACCACCTATGAGGCTAATTACTTCCTTTGTATTATCTCAAGTAATCCTTAAACCATCTCCTAGAAGTAAGCTTGTGTCTTTTTGGAGGTGAGAAAACCCAGTCTCAGGTTAAAAACTCTGTCTTTGGTTGCGTGGCTAGTGAGTAGTAGAGCTGGTCTTTGATCCCAGGTTTGTTAGACTTCAAAATCACAATTCTGTCTCCCCAACATAAGAATTTTATATCCTACTACCTAGAACTAATTATCACTAATGTTTTGTGTATTTTATCTATCTTTTTTCCTGTTTTGTTAACTTGATTCACAAAATTGAAAATATACAACATGTAAATAAAATATCTCTATCTTTTATTCACTTAACACAGATAGTTAACAATTTCCCATACCACTATTGTTAAATGGTTAAGTGTTTTTTAAAAGGTGGATTAATCACTAGCGGTTACATATTTCTCTTCCTGGTGACCAAAAGAACTGATCTGTGACTAACACAAATAGGTTTCAAAGGTGGGATTTGTATAAGACAGGCAACCGGCAAGATAGGGGAATTTCCAGAAGGACGTGGTAAGTTAAAAGTCAACCAGTCAGAGTGAAAAAAGAGGCCAGTAAGCAGTTTAGAAGTCTCTGTCTGATTTAGGATTCTCATGTTGAAATAAATTAGGGAGGCACGATTACCCCTTGGGCCATGTAGTTACAGAGGAACATTTGGAAAGAATGTGGGCAGAAGCAGACCAAGCGTAAATGCTCAGCTGCTCTAAGGTATCCTGGAGCAGTCAGATCTTTGTTTACCTAACATACGTTTTGTTTGTGAAGGTGCTTGGTGGAAGTACCACTACACATTAATAGTTGGTGTCTTGAAGTATTTAACTTTGTTATTCAGCCTTTGTTGCAAAATGTTAAAGAATAGGCCTCCAGTCCAGAAGAGCTGATGAGTGGTGGGTCAAGATGAACTAGTGGGTCTGAGCCAATTAGACAAAAATGGGAGGACCAAGTGCCAACAACCTGACACATGTCCACAGCAAAAGGCAGCCCAGAAGGGGGGTGGCGAGTAATGCCAGAGGGGCTGCGGGGACTCAGATCTCTCAGCAGAGGCCTAGACTAAGTCAAGGCAGCAAGCACCTACGGCAGCCGTGGGCAAACTATGGCCCACTTGAAATGAATAAAACTAAAAAAAAAAAAAGACCGTACCCTTTTATGTAATGATGTTTACTTTGAATTTATATTCACACAAACACTCCATCCATGCTTTTGTTCTGGCCCTCCGGTCCAGTTTAAGAACCCATTGTGGCTCTTGAGTCAAAAAGTGTGCCCACCCCTGACCTACGGGAACTGAGTGAGTCATTGGTTCTCCTCACTTCTACACCTAAGCGGCCTATGATGAGTGCATCACTGTCTATCTGACTGACTAGGAACTGACGGGACACAGCATGGCAAGGGCCTAGACACTTTGAAGTTAGCCATAGGTCAAGTCAGATGCCCTGAGAATGTGCTTTCTCTCAATCACAGGGAGCACCTTTGTTTCAGTAAGTGCCTACTTGCCCCAGGCTCCCCCCTCCTCCCAGCACACACTTCTTTTAGATCTTCACTCTCTCCAGGGGCTTTGCACATTGGTAATTAGAGACAAAAGGGAACTACTGCCATTGCTCTAAATCAGGGTCGCTGCCTTTGGCTTTTGGCATGGACTGGTCAGCCTTTAGGTGTGACCATTTGGAGCATGGCAAAGAGATCTCATTGTAAGTCTCTGGCATTTCCTGAGTAGATGCTGTAGTCTTTAGATGAGCCCTTTCCTACTGCCAGTTGAATTTATTCTTATCTCCAAAATCCCTCTTTGTGGTGCTAGCAACTGTTCTGGCCTTTTTTAGGGATCCAGATGCTAAGAGATAAACTCCAAGCAATGTTCTAAATGAAGGCAGCATATTTCATTATGAAAAAGTACAGCAACGCACTAGTGAAGTCTTGGCTAGAATGCATGTTTCACTGAGGTAGGGACATAGGAGCAGGGGCAGATTTTCAGGATGAGTTGTATCCATTTCTTGAGTATTTAACCAGCACCAGGTATTTCATTTCTGTGCTAGGAGCCTGAGATAGCAAGTCAGTTTAATGATGGCTCTCGAGGGGTTTGGGTTCAAAGGTGAAGGGACTAACTCCATCTGTGATGGCATGGCAGGGTGGGAAGTCCTGTCTCAGAGGAATACCTGGAGGAAGCCGAGGGTGGGGTGTCTGAATCATTCCTGGGAAAAGGAGGAGTCTGAAGAAGGCTTCCTGGAAAAGATGAGGAACAAGTAGCAAGTAAAGAACGACATGTGGGAAGGACATTTCTGGGCGGATGAAGTAACGTGCATGCATGCCCGAAGGTCTGAAATAGTGTGGTGAATTTGGAAAATACAACATACTACTGGAGTACAGGCAGGAGATGAAGCTAGAGAGGTAGTTGGCAGTGAGACCGTGAAGGGCTGGTGTGCTCCGCTAAGGAATGTTTTATTGAAAGCTGTGGGGAGTCAGGAAAGGGGTTCCAGCAGGGGAGTGAGTGGCTCCTTAACACCCCGGCAATAGCAGGGAGCCTGGAATTGATTGAGGGCAGGATGCAGGAGCCCAGGCATCCTTATGAAGTGGAGGACTACAGAGGCGAGTAGGAGAAAGGGAGGTGCTGGGCCAGGCATGAGGGTGACAAGTGGCAAGCGTGCTGGATGTGGAGGGACGGGGAGTGAGAGGCCTGGGTGTGGGATAAACCACCACTCCCACCACAGGAGAGAAATAAGACACTGAGGAAAACATCAGGTCTGAGGGGAAAGGATGAGTCTCTTTGTGGGCATGTGGAGGGTGAGATGCCTTTGGGATGTGCAAATGGAGATGTTTAGTGGACAGTCCAATATACTAGTAAGGGTCTGAGGCTCAGGGGAGAATTTAGCAGGAGATAGTGTTGGGAGTCATCCTTGTGTGGGTGATGGTGGAAGCTATGGGTGTGAATGAGGCCACTCAGGGAGATGGAGAGGCTGTGGAATTGGAAGGGCAGATGGATGAGCCCTCAGAATACCATGATTTAAGGGAGAACAGAGAAAGAGGGCCCTGTAAGATTCTGAGGAGGACCAGCAGGAGGATTTGTCAGCGGAGTTGACTGGTATTGCAGAAAGGGGCCAGCAAGACAATGGCTGAGCAGTGTCATCACGTTAAACGTCAAAGAGGATCCCATGGGCTAGCGCTGAAGCTTTCAGGTTAATGGGTGGAGATATCCTGGATGTAGAAAGGCAGGATCTTGGGAGTAGCAGCATTAAAGCACTGCTGACAAGAAACTTGGGAGGGACTGGGAAGGAGCAGGCAGAGAAACAGAAGAATCACAAGAGCTTAACTCTGGAACCAGGGCAGGGAAGCACATTGAGGAAGGCTGCCGTATGAAATGGGCAAAACGGTCAGTAAGTGCGGACAGAAAGGTTTCCATCGGATTTGTTTGACGTCTGAGAGGTCATCTGTGACAGCAAAGGCGATGTCAGAAGTGGTTCGCACACACCATGTTTTTTTTTTTTAAAGCTTTTCCCTTGACTCTCTCTGAGAGATCAGAGGATGGCTTGAAAAACACCAGCAATCACCATTTCCTGGCGGAAACAACAGCAGTCACCGTTTCCTGTTGCGTCTGCCAGTTCTATGGGATGTGAGCAATTATGATGGTAGTGTATGTCTTGGACAGCTAACTGTGATGTATAATTAATGGAGGAATTTCATAACTCCAGTCATAGTGTGTACGTGTTTGATCAGTGTCTGCTGTGGAAATGAGCCATCCAGGCATTGCCGCTGCCAAAGTGAGGCAGACCCAGAAGGCAAAAGGTGGGGGTAAGCAGGCACCAATATTCTTTTTCTGGAGTCTGGGCATTAGCTGTGGTTGGGACCAGAGTGGACTCCTAGGCCTGCTTATTCCGTGTTAAGGACCACAGACAGATAATGTTCCTTCCTCCCAGACCCTTTAATAATTGTGTTTTACTCATTTTGTTTCCCAGTTTATTTCACCTTGAGATTTTTTTAAATTATAAAAGCAGTATATGGTCATTATCAAGAGGTGAGTGGAGGCAAGTAAAGGAAAAGTCAACAACCTGCCCTTCCAACTTGCAGACTCTCCCTACCCTGAGGGTGGTGGCCAGTGTGGGTATCACACAGATAGTGCTTATTAATAATAAATAATATTAATAATTAAAGCATTAAATATAATAAATATAAATTAATGCTGAATATTAATATTTTAAATGCACATTAATATTAAATATAAATGGATTAAATAACATTTAATTAAATAAAATTAAATAACATTTAAATGCACATTAATATTAAATAACATTAAATTGCTATTAAAAATCCCAATGCTTTTATGATACCTCTCCTCCTGAATTATGAGATTAGGTCATAGCAGGCAAACATTGTGCCTCTTTTACTCACCTTCCTCTTCTTACCTTCAGCCACATAAACTGACAAATAATCAGGGTCCATTAAATATTAGTTGTTTAAATAATTGGATAAATGAACAAATGAATGAATAGTGTGATCTCTCAGGCTTTGCCATTGGGACTGTTGCTTCCTCCCCTTCCATTGTATCT